GTTGACAATATCTGATCACAATTCTTGCCAGTCAGCAAACTATTTGAGGGACAAATGCAATAATAATCCAAATTATTATTTATTGGCACACATGTGCCACCATTCCGACAGGGATTCGACCAACAAACTAAAAGTAACAGTAGAATGAATTTAAAACTTTAATATAAAATTTGAAGGATTATGCAACTAGTTGAATAAACATGTTTCTATCTTTTTTAAATCACTTGAAATAAGAAAAATACTGAAAAACAAATTAGAGCTTAGTATCTTATTTCATCTTGACAGTTGAGACAAGAAAATTTCACGTTAAAACTGTACTTCAGAACACATTTCGTACCTTTCTAAAAACACTGAAACTACACCGCAATCCTACATATGTAGCAAGTTGGATAATTTCTGAATATATCAGGAAAAGATTTGCATGTTTTGAATGTTAACGACATTTTTTGCCCGAAATTAGTTTTTCCTCATTTTTAATAATTCCCTGTCTTCGGTGGCTACAATCAAATGACGAAGGACTTACACATAAATACTACATTTTCACCAAAAATACATACAACTACAAGGCAACGATGCTATCTGAACATGAGTGAATCGAAACTCTAATAAAACATAGAAAATGAACTCATCAATCTGAAAAACGACTTCAAAATCTCAAAATAATAGATTCATCATCTTGTCTTAACATACAGAAAAAAAAGAAAAAGCTAAAACAAATGAACATTTACTTGTCGCCATCGTCGTGAATGGAAAACTTGTTGTAGTCATTGGTAATGTCACAGGGAAGTCTTCAATGCATATAGTTACACATAGTAAATAACATAATTGCTATACTTACTACAATAACTCGGATCTTCATCGCTTCCATCTGCACAATCTCTATAAGCATGTGAAAAAAGATAGTAGATAGAGTATTTTCTAATGTAACTTACCTGTCTCTATTACACATAGATAATTTAGATATACATAATGGTCCGTTGCCTGGATTTACACATTGAATTTCATTCGAATTACAAATAGAAGCTAGATTTTCAACAAAGCCATTGCTGATAAGTTATACAAAAATTTAAATTCAATCTTACCACAATGCTTCGGATGTTCATCACTTCCATCAGCACAATCACTATTAAAAAGATTTGAATGGATTCAAATATTGGAACAAAGATGAGATTACCTAACACCATTACACATCAATGATTTCGAAACACAGAGTCGTCCATTGCCTGGATTCAAACATCGAACTTCAGCCGAATTGCAATTAGCTGCTCAGTTACAACAGAAGACATTCTAATAAAGTCAAGATGAAGTAAACATATATATTCTTACTGCAATAATTTGGATCTTCATCACTTCCATCGGCACATTCCCTTTCGAAAGAAAAGAAATTATTTTTAAGACTGCATGATAACGAAAATTACCGGCTTCCACTGCACAGCCATGACTTGCTGACACATGTTCGACCAGTGCTCGAATTTACACATCGAACTTCACCAGTATTACAAGTGGCAGCTAGATTTATCAGGTAAGTATTCTATTTATATTAAAAAGCAGTAATTGTTAAATCTCACCACAATATTTTGGATCTTCATCACTTCCATCAGCACAATCTCTTTAGACAAAAAGAAAAAAAATAACAGACATTGCTTTAGCTTGTGAAAAAAAGAAATGAAACTACCGAGTTCCATCACATATCGATGATCTCGAAACACACAATTGTCCAACGCCAGGATTAACACATCGGACTTCACCTGGATTACAACTAACAACTAAACTTCCGAAGAAATCATTGTAAAGAAGTATAGAAAAATAAATTTTGAATCTTACCACAATACTTTGGATCTTCATCACTTCCATCAGCACAGTCTCTTTTAGAAATATAACAATCGATTTAAATATTGAAATGAAAATGAAATTACCGAACACCATTGCACATTGATAATTTAGATACACATGATAGGCCACCAGTGGGATTCAAACATCGGATGTCACCCGAATTGCAGTTTACAGCTAAAGTTTTCAAGAAAACATTTTCAAAATATTAGCTGACAAAAATGTAAAATCTCACGGCAATAGTTTGGATCTTCGTCACTTCCATCAGCACAATCCCTTTTAGAAATATAGAAATTTGTTTAAATGCTGCAATAAAGATAAGATTACCGAATGCCATCACACATTGATGATTTAGGTAAACATGATCGTCCAACACCTGGAGTCACACATCGCATTTCACCCGCAAGACAACCAGCAGCTAGGTTTTCAAGCAAAGCATATCAAACATATTCAATTAAAGTGAAAATCAAATCTCACCACAATACTTTTGATCTTCATCGCTTCCATCATTGCAGTGCCTTTTCGAAACATAGATATCATTATAGTTAATCAAACAAATATGTAATTACCGAGTGCCGTCGCACATCCATAATTTATTAAAACATGTTCGCCCACCATTTGGATTCACACATCGTACTTCGTTTGCAGGACATGTGACAGCTAGAGTTTTTGCATGATAGATGTGAAAGATATTAAGAAAAAAAAATCTGAAAATCTCACCACAATATTTTGGATCTTCATCACTTCCATCAACACAATCTCTTTTAGAAAAATAAGAATCGATTTTTAGATTGTAAAACAGAAATGCAATTACCGAATGCCATTGCACACTGATGTTTTAGGTACACATAATCGTCCATTGCTTGGACTCACGCATCTGATTTCATCCGAATTACAATTGGCAACTACATTTTGAAAATGAATCATGGTGAAGAATTTCAGAAAAGATCAAAATTGAATCTTACTGCAAGACTTTGGATCTTCGTCACTTCCATCATCACAATCCCTTTCAGAAATATAGAAATCAGTTCAAATATCAAAATAGAAATATAGCTAACTTGAATTTATCACACACGAATGCTTTAGGTACGCATGCTCGTCCATTGCCTGGATTCACACATCGAATTTCCCCCGAATTACAACTAATAGCTAAGTTTACCAAGAAAATATGATGAAAAAGTATAGAAAAATAAATTTTGAATCTTACTACAATACTTTGGATCTTCATCACTTCCATCAATACAATCCCTTTTATAAATATATAGAAATTAATTTAAATGGTAAAATAAAGATAAGATTACCGAACACCATTACACATTGATGTTTTAGGTATACATGATAGACCACCAGCAGAACTCAAACATCGGAGTTCATTTGAATTGCAATTCATTTCTAGATTTCAACAAAAGTCATTGTGACAAAATCGAGATCAAGTTAAAATTTATTCTTACTGCAATAGTTTACATCTTCATCACTTCCATCAGCACAATCCCTTTTGAAAATAGAGAAATTATTTTTAATATTACATAATAATGAAAATTACCGAACTCCATTGCACATTGATAATTTAGATACACATGATCGGCCACCAGTCGAATTCGTACAACGAATTTCATTTGAACTACAGCTGACACCTACGTTTCTCATGCAATAATAATGAAGAAGTTTACGAATATAAATGCTGAATCTTACCACAATATTTTGGATCTTCATCACTTCCATCCATACAATCCCTTTAGATAAAAAAAATACCATATCAGTTTAGTTTACAAACAAAAAATAAAATTACCGAGTTCCATCGCACATTGACGTTCTTCCAATGCATGTCCTTCCACCCAGCGAATTCACACATTGTATTGGACATGTATCAATTTGAGCTATAATAGACAAATAGCAGAATAATTAACTAGATTGGATCTAGATCTATGCGAAGAGTGTAACAGGTCGACTTGAATCTAGTCCTGCAGTTCGAACCAGATTGATATGTACGAGTTCTTGATACTTTATTCGAATCAGTTGAATTAAGGTGGAGACGTTTTTTTTTTTACAAAGAACATAATTCATAAATCAAATAATAAATTTATATCGATTTCTAAATTCGAAGTTTCAAGAATAATTCCTAATCCATTCTAATTCAAACAGATTATTTCTCTGGACCGAGCGAGCCAAAAATTTCATCGAACTAGGCAGTCAGAACTTTATTTCTATTTTCAAGAAGGAATTGTTAAATCGGAAAATAGAAAACAATCTAGTTTTTCAACTTTGAAGATATAGATTTTGATTGATTTCAACTTTTCTGACTCAGTTCTTAACAAACAGTTTTAGTCGACAAAACTACATTAATGGATCAAAGCAGATATGAATGAAATCAATTGAAATATATCTTTAAAATTGAAAAGTCAAATTTCAATCACAATAAAAAAAAACTAAAACTATTAACTGATCTCATTCTTCGAAATTGATCAGCAAGCTATTTACTTGTGAAAGCTTATGTTAAAAAATGATTGTCTCCAATAACTTGAACTACCTACCAATTTATTTTAGTCTTTCGATTCAATAAACAATTTAATATCACCCTCATGCTGTTTGTTGGGACTATTTCATAATGTTCCCAATCTTATAAAAAGTGGAACGATGAATTTTTTCTTTTCTCTTCTGATTGTAAATTTCTTGAGAACTCTATTTTGATGTTGACTAATCATGAAAGTATCGACCTGTATCCCTAAAATTTTGAAATGTACTTTGTATAAAATTCAGCTGTAAATGTTTTGAAGTTTGAGCTGTACTCTCTCCTCTCCTACTAAAAGGTTATACACAACTCTGTACATAGAGTACTAAAAATCATGTATTTGAAATCTAAAAATGAAACTAAATTATATAATTAGTAGGAAAATGATAGGAAAAAATAGAAATATGATTTATTTTGATCCAGAGAGTATAACTTATTCTTGCATATCAATTTCTGAGAACTTCATCAATCAAGAATATTGTCAATCTAATGATCGAATCTTGCACAAATTGTGCTTCTAGTATAGAGTCGATTATCGCTGCTGCCTTTTCTGTTATCATTTCATAAAACTAACATGTCAACCGTGCTCACCATTTATTTGTCCAAGAAGAACTCCAGTTATCCAACAGACAACGAAAAGAATCAACGATGCCAAGTTTCTCATTTTGTATACCGTATGATCAATTTCTTTTGCCAAAATGCACCTCTGTTTCGATCCGAATAAAAACGATGGCGACAATCAAAATGCATTATTTTATAAGGAGGATTACGAATGCTAGGAAGCGAAGAAAGTTTTAATTATAAACGAATGTAAAACGATCTAAATTCAATTATATTACCTTCATCAGTGAAATTAGATCCTCATGAAGTGATAATAGAAAAATAAATCCTTTGAAATAACGAACAGATTTTTTCATTCATCGTCGAAGGACAATTTTTTTTTGATGGCATTAATAGATGTATAAAATGGCTTTACAAAGCTCAAGCGATACTGCCAAATTACGATGAGATAATAAGATGCACTTTGTGATCCTTTTCCAAAATTAGCTTCAAGCTAGAAAAATACTTCAATTTATAGTTCATTGTTTATTCTATTGTGAATAATGAATTGTTCGGCAAAATCAGTACGATAAAAGAATATGTTTGAATATTGTTGGTTTCTGTGCGTAGAAATCTTTCTCATTCTTGAGTCTATTCGATGGTTTGCTTAACAAAGTTACGTAATTCGACATTTCATTTCTCTTCAATATTGGCTTCATTAGAAATTGATAAAAGGATCAGAGCCATCTAAAAAAAAATAAAGTAGTGTTTCTTATTTGATTTGATCGAGTTGATTCGACCATTACTGATTTTTTTTTAGTCATTCGAGTGTGTGTGGGTGTGTTAAATAAGAATAGATTCAAAGCATAATACGACACGTTTCTATTATTGCTTAGAAAGTCATCGTTAGGTATGGATGTGTTAAAAACTCAATTTTTACATAGATTCAAAGCACAATACAACGTTTTTGTCGTTGCTAGAAGCACTCATCAGGCATGTTTAGAATTTATTTAGTATTAAATGAAAGAATCAAAACCATTCAATTTGAGATAGAAAGGTTAAGACTCAATTCGTAATAATTTCTATCTAATATTTCAATATATATAGAAGATGGTGGGGTATGCGTATGGATATGTGTTCTCTCTGCATCCTTAGTCATACCTTCACCGACACCGACACTCACATCCATTCAAATTGATCTCGTATTTATTGATTTTCTTCTCGATAATAAACTTACTCAGACTATTCTTTAAACAATATCTCAACAAATAAAATTTTCACCTTGAAACATTCAATTATACTTTCATTAATCTTGTTTTAACTATGGAAATTTTAATATCAAATATACTTTTTGAAATTATATTCAAGTTTACTACGAACAAACACTATAATCGATAGTATTCAATCATTGCAGAAAATTCATATCTATTGATACTAATTGTTTCCATTAAACAATTTCATATCAAATTGTATAAACACCAACCAATTCTGCTGACTATGCAAAACATCGGATTTAACCATTTATCTATCCACTTTGAAATTATGCTTTGACATCACAATAATTCGTCATGTTTTCTGGAAGCAGTGTATCCAAGAAGTCAATTTCCCATTTGGAAATATCATTTTTCTGCTAGAAAAATAATTATCCATGTCCTATTTCAATTATCCAGTTTTTTCTTGAAATCATTGGAATAGTGACGAAAAACAGAAATTTTGATCAAATTGAGTTTTCTACTTGTTTCCAATCAGTTCTCTTTTTTACGTACTTTCAGACAGCTCCCTATCGATCGCATCCAAATAGGTTGTATCATGTTTCACTTTGTAATATTGTAAAGATTACAGTGAAAGTCTTTCTTTCAATGAAATACCCGTGAATGCTTAAGCATGCAAAATCATTCCTAATTGTTTTTCAAAGAGATCAGCTTTCAAAACAAAAAATCAATCAATTTTGTGCTTTTTTTGTGCTTGTAATAACAAAGAATAGAAAACATATATAAATACAGCTCTGCACTAGTCTGAATTACACACAAGTCTACCATCACAAGATACTACGACAATTATCAATTTCAATAACCAAACGTGAGTAAATAGTTGGACACTAGGCAGTTAAATTAAAGTAATTTCTTTTTAGTTTCCAAATGCATCTACTAAGGCTGATTCTTCCCGTTCATACAGGAATTAGATTTTTAGAGCGGATAGGAGCGGAGTTAGTCGTTTTCGCACTAGGATCTTATTTCCATGATGTAATGTTTATGGTGGTCCTTTTTATTTTCTGTACTTCTATATCTCTAACTTAACACCGTTTCAACTCATCCATGTCTAACAGAATAACCATGCTCGCTTGAGCATCAATCAATTGTTCAATCAGTCCCTGACAATTCACTTTTTTTCTATCTGATATGAGCTTCTTCATTTTCTATTTTCTTGAAGAATTCGGTGGCGGCATCAGTGAGTGGGTGAATGGGTAGATGATGGTGAGAGTTTGAATCGGGATGATGATGAGATGAGGGTGGGATGAGTGTGGATATGGTTGAAACGAATACGCACGCCCACGATCGACGCAAAAAATCGAATAATATGTCTAAGTATCGCGTGATATATCGCCAAAAAATTGGGGATTAATTGCACTTTTCGCTACATGGGAATACAAAGGAATATTGTCAGCTGACGGATAAAATCACTAATCAAGCATAGATAAGATTAACAAAATTGAGAGAAGGAGCCGCCTGATAACAAAGTCATCATTTTTTTTCCTGTATATAAAGGTATGCTAGAATATCAGGTGAGCCAGATTAATTGGCAGTGCCATTATTTTGACTATAATTTTTGTCCACTCCATTCCTTAGAGTCGGCTCTCTTCGCACAAGAACCGTTGTCAAATTCTCTATCTTCTTCTATATAATTGACTTTTTAAGAGTTATTCTTAATGAAGTTTTGGCATGTCTACTAAACATATGCAAAATGTTTCATTTTCTAAATGGTAACACAAATACTACTATGTACGCGAGATTGTCAGTATTGATAGAAATTTTCTCTTCTGCTTAAGGCGTAATCGAGCTGATCTTTCGCCAAGAGATTTTTCATTCAGTTCTTCACTAGGTGTTGTGTTTCGTTGATCAAATTGAATTTCCTTTAGTTTTTTTTGAGGTGCGAAATAAAATATGTAGTATCGAGTGTCAGATTATGAAATGTGTTGTTTTTCAAATTTCTTCTCAATTCCGCATCAGCCCTTTTCAAACAATGTCATTTTCGTTAGAACATATTTCGATCATAATTCAAAGCATTGTTTTACAGAAGTTACCTTCTGCAAGACGTGCGTTAGAACTATGAATTGGAAGCATGTTTTAACGAAAATGACATTGCTTGGAAAGGACTGATGCAGAATTGAAAAGAAATTTGAAAAGCAACACATTTTGCAATCGGACACTCGATAACACGTTTGCTATTTCATACCTAAAAATACTAAAGGAAATTCAATTTGATCAATGAAACAGAACACCTAGTGAAGAACTGAATGGGAAATCTCTTGATGAAGGATCAGCTCGATTGCACTTGAAACAGAAGAAAAATTTTCTATAAATCCGGACGATCGCGAGTACACAGTATTTGTGTTATCATTTAGAAAATGCGGCACTCTGCACATGTTTAATAAACATTTAAAAATTTTACTGAAAACAACTCTTAAAAAATCAATTATGTAGAAGAAGATAGAGAATTTGATGATGTTCCTTTTATGAAGAGAGCCGACTCCAAGAAATGAGGTGAACAAAAATTATAGTCAAAATACTGGCACCGCCATTTAATCTGGACCATTCGATAATTTATTCACTTATACTTATCGTAACACTCATTTGTACTCATAGGATATTCCAATGTGGATCATTATGCAGTTCATGATGGCGGTGTTTCTGCCTTTGACCACTCTTGCGCAACAATATGGAACATGTACGGCCAGGAATGGTCTTAGTGGAGAATGTATTAATACCAAAACATGTGCAGCTAACCGTGGAGTCTCAGATCCAGCCAATCTCTGTCCTGGTGACAATTCGATTCAGTGTTGCACATATGGTACATGCAAGAATAGCAAGGGTGTTGCGGGCATATGTCAGCCAACTTCGACCTGTAAGGGAACCTCTGATCCTGCCAATCTCTGCCCTGGTGGCAACCATATTCAATGCTGCACAGTAGGGTCTACTTCAACTGGTCCTGGTCCCAGTAAACCAACTAACACGATGCTCACAGGTTTGGCCGATATTCTTCGTGGCGCTGGTCTCAATGTGGTCGAGGTTGCCGGTTGGAGGACTCGTGGTCATGGTGTTATGACTTCTGTGAAAGGTATCATTGTTCATCACACGGCAGGCCCAAAGACAGGTGACTATCCGTCGTTGGGGACCGTTCGCGACGGTACACCTAGTCTTGCTGGTCCACTCTCACAACTTGGATTAGGGCGATCGGGAACTTGGTTTGTCATTGCAGCAGGTCGTGCCTACCATGCCGGCAACACCATCGATGACTCCATCTATGGAAATTCCAATGCAATCGGTATCGAGGCCGAAGGAGTTGGTTTGCCAGCTACCGATAGTGGACATGCACACTGGCCGGAAGTACAATACCAGAGTTATGTGAAAGGTGTTAAAGCTCTTCAGAAGGCTTACGGTGTGCCTACGGCTCGCGTGTTGGGACATAAGGAGGCGGCAGTACCAAAAGGTCGCAAAATTGATCCCAACTTCTCTATGGCTGAGTTTCGCGCTAAGCTCGGCTAAAGTCACGTGATTAGGAATGCATCGGTTCTAAACAGTCAGAATGGGTCGAAAGTGAAAGCGGCTGGAGTTTCATTAGAAAATTGTCAACTTTTCTGTGTGGTTGTTTAAAGAGCTGAAACTTTAGGATAAACTCCAACTATAATTTGAAACTCGGTAGTGCACAGAAATAACTTTCCAACTCATTGTGTAGAAAATCGTTATCTCACTGGGAAATACCCGACAAAAGCCAAAAAATTTATTTGAGTGTTTCCACTTGATATTTAAATCATAGTTAGCTATCAATGATATAACGTCCTTCGAGAAAATTCAGCTCTAGACGTCAACATATTGAGCTGTGATTTTAACCACCGTTAGCCATAAA